CACAAGGAAGGTGAACCCGCCTATAGGGAGGTTGATATAGAAACACCACCGCCACGAGGCATGGTCCGTCAGCAAGCCACCAATCCTATAAGTATTGATGTTAGCTTCATATCCGTACCATGTTGTCCACGGGTCACATAAGAATCTCACAATGGTCCTAGGACGCTGACCACCCCATGCACACAGCCCAGGCATCCTAGATAAATAGGCCGTTTCCGCAGAGGAATGGTATTGGTGACAATCACAATAGCACCGGCATTGATGCTACCGGCCCCAAATCCTGCGATGCTACGGCCCGCGATCAGAGCACCCGATGTGGGAGCTACTCCGCAAATGAGAGATCCAATCTCGAATATCGCCACTCCTATGAGAAAAACCCACTTCGCTGGGTACATCGTGTACAATTTACCCCATGGCATCTGAGCCGCCGTGAACACGAAGAGATACGAGCTTCCGTACCACCCGACATCATTCAAAGAATGGAACTGATTAGTGATTTTTGGTATAGCGGTTGCGAGCACCGTTTCGTCCTGGAATATGGAAAAATGAATGAGTCAATTCCGTGTCCCTATGGGAAAACCCAAACCTGGAAAAACCAGAAAGAGAGAGAGAGAGGCGCGAGGAGAAGAGAGAACAGCCTTGAGACTACTTACTAATGACACACAGAATACTGTGAGGCAAAGGCTGATCGTGACGATTATAGACTGTCGAAGCGATGGGTAAATTGGTTCTTTTTCCATAGCAGGCCAGTGTCGGTAGATTTATCCCGGGAGGGCGATAAAATTGACTGCGTCCTGACGTTCGAGTTAACAATGCCGAATATCCTGTTTGGGTCAGAAGCGCTGGCTGTTTTTGTGCAGACGACGCCGTGTCAGGTTGCCTGGTCAGATTGACTGGGGACCAAGGTTGATAAGAGAGTAGTGGTCTTCGAAAAGAAGCCATGAGGGACCTGTGGCATAATGTGAGACATTGAAGGGATGGGAAAGAATGTAGTAAGTTCATTCCCGACAAAGGAGCAAATGCCTTGCACCAAGTTATCGCCCACACCAAGGAAGAGACAAGAGCCGACAAGTTCAGCAAGAATGGTATGCAAACATTCGACAGATACCAAGTCCAGGCCAAGTCCTTGGATTCCCCACGATGCGGAGCCTTATCACCACTCTCTTGATATCCCACGTCCTACGAGCTTTTTGCAAAAGCGGAGGCTGGGACAGAAACTGATTTTTGGATCTCAATGGAGGCGATGTTTGTAAGGCCCCCTTGCTTTGAGTAGCCTACGGGAGTTCACAACCCCGTTTTCCCATGAGCACGCAAGAGGCTATATCTTCCAGGATGGGTGGACTGAGAGTAGCTATGTGGCCTGGGGTACGGATAGGGTACCACTGTATGTTACCGGGCCTTAACATCGGAAATGGAGCACCTGCCCGAGAAGATCACTCGTTTGAAACCACAACAGTGCTGACAACGATGTCAATTAGGCATCCAGAAGCAATGCGCACTTGGTCTCTGGTGAATTACCAAATGACCATCCAGAAACCCTCGATATTCTCTCCTCTCGAGCCCCAGTTTTGTAAGCGATAATCTGTTGAGCGGATTAGCCAGAACTTCCCACGCCTGTAATGGACGCAGGGTGGGATATGGGGAAGTATTCACGTGGGATTGCAAAGCCTTGCTCAAGCATTCTGTCGCCCACATCAGCCAGGCTTGCAGAAGGAGCTTGTTTCTTGAACGTCTCTGAGAATGTGAAGACAACGACGGAAACCCCGGTGGTTGGTTCCCGCATCCCCTGCAGTGGTGAGAGTTGATTAAGCAGTGGAAATACCCAGTGCCTTCAAGCTGACTGCCAATGGCATAGGACACCCCAAGCAGTTGGCTGATTTTCGGTCGATAACCTTCCAGCCCAAGATGTTAAAAGTTGTAGTACTGGCTTACTACCGAAGCGCCGGACCGTGAGAAGCTCAAAGTGAATTTGCTCTGGGAACCACGTAGGTCGGATGATTCCAACATGAGGTCTTCAAGAATAAAACCGGAATCTCTTCAAAGTAGCCAACCTACTGTGGAAGGAGCAAAGCCAAATTTCTGGCCCGAAGCATTGATTGATACTACTCGCGGAATGCGAAAGTCCCTACGAAAGAAAAGAGAAAATTGATGAGCAATCGAGAGAGACACAGGAAAAAAAAGGGCAAGACAAATCCACCACTGGCGGCATCGACATGGATTGGAATGTCAAAACCCAATTCGCACTGGAGCTTGTCCTAATACGTGACCACGTCGCGTATCGGATCGCAGTGTCCTGTATAAGTGGTGCTAAGCGAAAGGAAGATTCCGACTAGGTCTTGAGTTACCATCAGCTCCCTATTCGTGATCCGGATTCTTCAAGAGCAAAGGAAAGGCTGACTGGTATGCTGGTCAACTTTGCCCTGCAGTGGTAGTGGGTCAAGGCGTTGTGCTTGTTGATTAACAACCAGTGATCTCTTTTCCTCTGTTTTGGCAGTCGTGTTTTTGATCTTGATGTTTCTTTCTCGCAACCCTACTACACAGAAAAAATTTTATTTGTTGTTTTGGCTTCCTACATAAGCCAGATTGCATGGTGATTGTTTCTTTTCATTAGTCAGTTTGAAATCCAGATATCACGGTTTTTGTCTTCATATAGGGGAAATCAAGACTTCATTGACGCCGATATACCCGGAGACATGCCAGTATCATGCATATAGTCTTTAAGATTTTGAGATCCTCGTTATTCTCAGATTCTACAGCTGCCCCGCTTGCATTCTCTTTAAACAATCAACCGATGCGGAGTGGATTGTTTCAGTCTGCTTTGTATCTCTGCTGCGCTGCTTCTGATGGAAGTGAATCAGCTGACCACACCTGACTACTTCCATCACCTCCGTGATTATGCTTTCCATCTTCATCATCTTCGCCATCAGCTTTCAGGTCAAGTATATCTTAAATTCCATCATCTTTTCAGACAAGAGATAATTGTTCTCATTAGCTTCATTGGATACTGACTAGAACATTAATCTAGACCCACGTATCATGCGAGTGGAGCTCGCTGACACCGTTATCTCCCAGGACTCTTTCACCGGCCTTGCCAAGGTTTCGATAGAGCCGCTGTCGAAGACTCGGTCCTTTTGCTGATATACCGCCAAAGCATCACTCACACCTAGCATCTCAATACCCGTGTCATGCCGCAGGATGTCAAGGTTTTGGAATTGGACAATAAGTTTGGATGTCCGCAAAGTCGCGGGCCAATAAGTGCGTAAACGGCGATGTCACTGAACTGGCTGCTATCGAATGGCAAAGATTTTACGCTGTGATTTGTTCAAGTTTGTCGGTGACCCTCCTCCCTTTATCTCTTTGAAACACGACAATTGATATCCTCATTTTTCATGGCAGAGGGTCTACCAAGGCAATAGTGTCTAACTTGCACGGTCAAGTTGATATCAAAAATGAGGATAAAAGACCCCGACTCATCAGAACCGATTCGCAATCTCGCCTTATGTCACACTGGACCACGCTGCTGCTTGCTTGTAATATACAACACGCCCTGATAGCTTGGTGGTCAAGACAGGAGCTTGGTTGCAACTTGAGAAGCCATATGGCCAATGCTAGTGTACCCTTCGGTCTAAATACATATCCAAGTCAAATGATCGATCATAGATGAAGCACGGCCGGCAATCTCCTTCCCGCGTCGGTGGGTATATGGATGGGTGTCTGATATATTGCTGATAATCCTTACGAATTGTGCTGATGGCAAATGTGCGGTCAAGGTAGCTATCCTACTTCGTCAGCACCTGGTTTGATCAAGAATAACTAGTAGGTCGGGTTCTCCAAGAGATCCCACACGACATGCGTCGCAATTTGATGAATTGAATCTAGTCACAGTCGCCATACTTATCACTGATTTCGTAAAAGGGTCCCTGAGCAATATCTTTGAGTTTGTGTGAGTATATTGAGAGATGCTCATGATGAATTATCCTGCGACAACTTAATTGTTTACTGTCTCAGAAATGTTTTGCGTAGGGGCACTCTGCAGATTTCCCCAATCAAATTCGTAGACGAAGATTACAGTGAAACAACTGGGGTCAATCATACCATCTGTGGGTACAGTATTGATGAGGGTATGAAACATTTTACTTTGATGAGGTTGCAATGCTTCGCTGCGGGCCCAGAATAAACCTTGCGTGAATCAACAATTCGTGCCGTCTCGGGTATATCCGTGGTCAGGGATTCTCATGTCTCCTAGGTTTACTTCTATATCCTTTCCTGGGGCTACCAGGCTCTCAAGAAAACTGCACGTTGAACAAGTCTAGGGAAACTGACCTTGAAAGGATTGTCGAGTACGGTCGAAATTTTCGCCCGTTTGAGACCGCCGGTTGAAGCACCGATTATTCCCAGTCGGGGGCGGCAAGGCTTCCCCAAACCCCCGGGATTGGGAGCGGGGTGGAGGGCCGCCAAGCATGCAGAACCCCAGACTCCCTACTTGGACTGGTCTGAATTGGACATGGGTGATGGACGAATTGATTTTCTAGATGTTATGAAACTCATATATACATATATTGCATGTGTAATCTAATTAAATCTCTTTAGATAGGTATCAGGATTCGTGTAAAGCTTATTATACAGATTTTGGTGAGGTTTAAAATATGTATATATGTTGTACGTATGGGTATAGATCTTTATCTCGGGGCAGTAATAACCGCCCACTTATAAGCTTTATAAGGCTTTACTGACAAAGGTGCGTCTTTCAAGATAGATCAGGAAGACTAGTCCAACCTTCAATTAGTGGAATTTCATATCGAATCTCGTTGGAGAATTAACCTATCTGTAATGCCAGGACGGCACGTTTTTATAGCAGTTCCATTCTAGGCTATCATTCCAGAGCTGTAGATCCGGTCTATTCTTGGGATTTCTCTAAACCGCTTTTATACTTGGAGTTCGATAACGTAAGTGATGCCTTCAATTCCCGTGTGACCAGTTGTATATAGACCCAACTGGCTGTTAAGTAAGGGCGGATACTGATGTACCATCCAGACTTTACCACCATCAAACATCGCTTGCATTCTATAGCCATTCATACGAAAGCGTACATGTACTCCTGTCATGTTTCTAGTAAAATCATGCTCAACGAGCGTAATATATCCCGGTTCATCTTGATTAGCGTAGTACTCACATTCCTGTACCGAATAAGTCGGGCCGCAGATGACCTGATCGGTCAGTGACAGGCTGACAGTGTTTTCAGCTCATTCTTTAGCCAACGCTCGATGTAGTCTCCGGGCCAAAGTCGTACCGTAATATTTGTCATACCGTCGTCGATATGATGCGATCTCTCCTGAGTCTGGTGGCACCCCGCCATGACGCTAAAATCTCTTCCATCGCACATGCCCAAGGCCAATCCCCAGTGTTGGTCATGGAATACAGGCGCTCGGCCGAAATGACTGCGGGTCTCTGCCAAGCGACTAGGCGGGGCCAGGAATTTGCTCGTCCTGGCGATCATGTCGTGATGAAGTCATCTTCAAAGCCATTGTGGTTGGATTAGGAGGCTGACAGGGTAGGGGGTCGCTGGGCTGAGTCTCTTTCTCTCGCTCACAAGCATGTTGATATCCTGTCGCTTTTGCCCTGTTCAATTGATGCCGACTGACTGGAGGGTCCGCTGGTTCTCTCATGGTCGTCACGCCTTCAAAGGTGTGGTGGATAGGTCCATTGTTTCTTTCCGAGCGATGCCGGGACTCCTCCACTGACGGAGACCCTTGCAATCCTCAGTGTGAGTGTGAGGGACAATATGACGGTGCTTGACTTTGAGACACGTTACCGATCGTCAGGCACGAAACACCCCAGCTCAACCCTAGCTCCATCCCAGCAAGCCAGTGATGAGCCAAATCCAGAGAATATGACCTCAATCCACCCAACAGGGTTAGGGCTTCACCATCGATCCCAATTCCAACAGGGCCTGTCAAATTTTCATCGGCCCCTCCACGAGGGAAGATTCTTCTAGGATTTTGGCTTGAAGAAAACAATAGTGGTCGATCAGTGACATCACAGCCATCCACCAAACGGCGTAAGCGACTCCCAGCCAGGATGGAAAAAGCAAGAGATCGTCCGCAGTGGGTCCGCCGATCCCATCCGCCGAAGGGATCTGGAGAATGTCCGCCGTTTCAGGACTTTTCCAGGGTTTGTTTCTGACTTTCCAGGGGGAAGTATGGTTCATTTCATCCCTAGGGCCCGAAGGTCTGACGAACCGTTCGATTCGTACGGAGTATAAGACATGTTGGTCCCGTTTGATGTCGCAGCGTTACTCTAAGTAACACCGGTCCTTCAATTTATCTCTGTCTCTCTCTTGACGTTGCATGTCTGTCGTTTTGTTTCATTGACTCTAACTGATTCATTCAATTCATTTCCATTTCCAATTTGTATACTCTTCATTCATTCACTCTACCGACCAAAACAACACATCCCACACACTCCTTCCACCCAGATCATTCAACTGTGTTGAATCATCCAAAATAAACACTCAAAAAGATAAAACAAACAAACACAAAAATGACGAGCAAAGTCCTCTCCCTGGCTTTCATTTCCCTCGCCCTTTCCACCGGCACATCAGCCTCCATCCGCCAAGGTTGTTACAACAGCGCAGGGGACCTCCAATTGATCGGCTCCGACGCAGCCCCCAAAGAGACCTCCTACCTGTCGCCAGCAACATGCCAGCAGACGTGCAAGAAGCTCAACCACCAAGTCTTTGCCCTGCATGATGCCAACAAATGCTACTGTGGCGACGAACTGCCTCCCTTCGCGGCCATGGTCGCCAACTCGGAGTGCGATGAGGATTGTGCCGGATATCCGGGCTTAAACTGTACGTCCTCTCTTCATCCCAAAGAACACAAACATATACCATTTTTTTTTTTTTTTTAAAAAAAAAAGAAACTAACACAAAATACCCCAAATAGGCGGCGGAAAATCAGCCTGGACAGTCCAATCCAGCACGATCGCAGTCCACCACCAACCCGAACCCAAGCTCCGCCTCCACAAACGCACCTCGCCCATCCCTGCAAAAGACGACGAAGAAGACGACGGCGACATCTCCCACATCATCACCGCCTCCGACGACGCCGACTACGAACCGGGCCACACCCTCAGCGTGAACCCGACCATCGTGCAAACAGGCGGCAGCGCACCCCCCTCCAAGAGCGGCAGTGCCAAAGAAAACAACAAAAGCCCAGAAGAACCCGTGCAAACGAGCATCCTGACCGCGCCGACAGCTGCGCCCGCGAAGGACGGAGCAGGAGAAGGTATGGCGCGCGTTGCGGCGTCGTCGACGATGGTGCCCGTTGCGTCTGGGACGGCTTCGCCCTCCAGTTCTTCGGCGCCTTCGTCGGGTTCGGGGTCCGGGTCGGGCTCGGGGTCGTCCGCTTCGAGCTCCCCGTCGGCGAGTCCCGGTGCGGGGAGCCGGAATGGGGTGTTGCTTGGGGCGATGGTCTTGCCTGTTGTTATTGGTGGTTGGCTTGCGTAAATATCCTGCACTCTTTGTTCTTCCTTCGGTATTCTTTCTGAAGGGGCGAGCATCGCTACCGAATGGGAAGATAAGGGTTATGTGCAGATGACAGGGCTTCTTAACCTTGGCTATCTGTTGGCCGTGTGTCCCTGGTGGATGCATGGTGGGATCTATTCCAACCGCTGGTCGGCTGGTTGGATCCTACACTCCTACTATGTCTGGTAGGAGTTAGTATAGTATGTACTGTACAAATACCGGAGAATAACTCCACGACACTCGCTACATAATCATATTCCACTGGATGGATTCAACATCGAACATTGAGTCGACTCAAGGATGGAAATAGACCAATATTTAAAGTAACAGACATATTTTGGTGAATTGATATTCATCAGTCCAAAGCAATATCCACTGGTACTATGGAAATGAGCGGAAACACAGACGCAGAACGCCGAAACACCACGGGTATCATGTCGCTGGAAACAAGTCGCCAATCAAACAAAACAAGTCATTCAAGCGCTGAGCCCCAATACCTTCCAAATGTAGGCAGCGATCATTTGTGTATTGTCGGCTACTTTTTCGAACGGTCACGCATGGCGATTTTGTCGAAATGCGTAGGAAGAGGCACACCTTCCCTGTTAAGCCATGAGTCAATGGGCCGTTCACAACTAGAAAAGATGGGGGGGAGGGGGAAACTTACTTCGTCCATCGCTCGCGGAGAACTCTGGCCCGACCACGGATCTGCAAATCGTCCTTGTCGAATTTCTCCTCGCCGGGTCGAACCCCCTGCGCCAGATTTTCCTCCCTGATGACCCGCCAGCTCAGACCGAATTCTTCGATCAGTCGGACGAGCCGTCGGGTTTGACCTTCTGTCCACTTCTGCTGATAGACGCGATTTTTTCCGCGACCGATGACGCCTCTCGATGCGTTGGGGGGATCTCCGGGTCGGGGTTGGGAGGAGGGTACCGGGGATTCTTGGTGTTGCTGTTCATGTTGTTGCTCCTCCGGAGCTGTGGTTTGCGCGAGGTCTTCGCTCAGCTGTTGGCCGGGGTCCTCACGGGGGTGGTCGTTAAGTCTCTGGCGTTTGGCTGGGTGTTGTGCGGGCTTTTCGGCCCGTCGACGTTCGATGCCCACGGTGCGCTCGTCGCTGGTGAAGTCGTCGCTGTCGGAGTCGTCGGTGGATGATTCGGTTACTGATCGTCTGCGCTTTCTGGAGGCTTCCTCTGTCGGACGTCTCCTTTGGACACTTTCGGCGTCTTGGATCGGTGATACCCTATATGCGTTGTCCTGGCGGTCGATGAACGTTGCTATACGGGGCCCTTGCTGTGCGGCCACCGGGCGCTGTGATGCGGCGGGATGCGCTTTGGCCGCCTGCCAGAGTTCCATGCTCGATGGGATGTGACCGGCCGGGTGCGGCGTGGCGGATGCTTGCGCTGTGGGAGTCCCTCGGCGGGAGCTTGGAGTGGCTCGGATCCTGGTGACGACCGGACTGAGGGACTGTTCGGCTTGAGCGTAGAAGTCATCGTCCACGTTAAAAGTGGACTCGTCGGCCAGAGGGGATGCGGGTATCTCTCGGTCCTCAGGTGAAGCTGCAGCCTGCGGGATAGCTGCCATTGTTTGCCGGCGTGGCTCGATCTCCTCAGGTGCAGTCTGGGGAGCGGATTGAATGACATCTGACTGTCGACGAGGGCCTGATTCAGAGAGGCGGGCGCGGTTTTCTCTTTGTCTCTGTATAAGACGCTCCATAAATCCGGTCCTCAAGTATGTGCTGTGTACTGTTAGCAAAAGACTTTCACCGATCGCGGGGACACTCACGGATGGGCCTTTGGTGCCTGGGATTTAGACGAAACAGTGGCAGTTCCTTGATCACTTCGTCTTTGTCTTTCTCTCTCTTCTGTTTCCCTCTGTTGCCTTTCTCTTTCTTGTCTTTCCGCCTCCTGTCGTTCCTTCTCTTCTCTTTCCCGCTCCTCTCTCTGTCTCTCTTTCGCCTCCCTCTCAATCTCCTGCCTCTGTCTCTCTCTCTCTTCTCCGAGTAGCTGTTCTCTGACCTGCTCCCTGATAGCCTCCTCTCTTGCTTGCACTCTCTCGCTTTCCTGTCGCTCTCTGTGGTGCCTGTCTGCACCCACACTGCGCCGGTCTGTACCCATACTGCGCCGGTCCACACCAATACTGCGCCGGTCCGTACCCACACTGCGCCTGTCTGTGCCCATACTGCGCCGGTCCGTACCAAGACTGCGACGATCCCTAGTGGGAGTGAAAAAGCCCTCGCGGACTACATCCACGCTATCCTGGCCACTCAAGTCGGCATCGATCTCGTCGACCCTCTTGCGAATCCACTGTGCAGCCCGCAGGGCAAACCGTTGCCAAGGGAACTGTCCTTTGAGGCCACTCAGGACTTCGGCGCGATCGCCAGACAAATACATGCCGATGTCATTGACACGTTCGTTAACCGGGCCGCAGAAAGCCTCAGGAAGGAAGCCATCGGTGCCTCCGAATCTGTCCAGGCCGAAGCCACGGAGGGGCTCGTCATCGTCGAAGACGCTCTCGTCGACGGGGACCGTGTAGAACGTCTCGCCGAGGGACTCGTAGGGATCGAACTCCCTCTCATGTAGGCTCTGATCTTCGAGCTGCGTGATCAACGATTGAGTGCGGATCTCGATCGCGAAGGAGAGGGTATCGCGCTCGAGCGTGCTCTCTCCGACGGCTTTTCTTGCGCCGCGCCCGACAAGGTCGCTCAGAAACATGGAGGGGAACAGCGCCTCCAGATTGCGGATTATTTGCCTCACCGGTTGCGCCCGAGACTGCGTCAGAATTTCGATGGCCAATTGGGCACAGTTCGCCTTGTATAGTACAGGCTCAGGGCTCCAGCTCTGACCCAGCGTCCCCTTTTCCTCTAGAGTTGCGTAGAGGAGGTCGCGAACGCGTCTCACATCGATGTAGTCGTTTCCATCTTGGCCGAACTGCGCTACCTCCTGCACTAGCTTCTTCTTCCTATTGTTGAAGAGTCTGCTCTGCGGGTTCCTGGAAGTGTGGATTGTTTTTGCTGCGTTGACAGCGCCGATGAAGTTAACAGAACCAGCGGGGACAAGCAGGTTGACGATGTCCTTTGCTTTGGACTCGAGATCCGGCAGCTCGTCAAGCATCAACTCCGGATCAAGAGACGAGGTGTCGACCTCCGTGGGATTGATAAACGTCGTCCCTGAGATATTGGTCGCATCCTCGGGCGAGTCGGGGATGAAGTCGGGTCTGTAGTGTTTATGCAACCGTGTCGGAGACTCTTCCACAACAACTTCTAAGGCTGTTGGCAGTGAGCTTAAGCTCAACAAAATAGAAACAGAAGACAATCCAAAAAAATTCAAATAGACAAGATATCTATCACAAAGTAAAAGCGCAAAAAGCATAGACAGTGTGCTCAATGACTGAAGTCCAAGGCCATGTATAGGCCAGCTGACTAAGAAAAGATCAAGTAAACAAACAAAACTTACCGGCCGCTTTGCGTCGTGCTCGAGATGGGGTAACAACTGCACTGCCAACTTCACTCCCTTTTTCAACCTCCCGACTCTGACTCCTGGTCATACGTCTCTGGGGCTGAGCGCTCCGTGCCATGTCCACTGATGTTCCCTTGGCGTGTTTAGCCAGGGAGGCGCCGTGCGCACGAGACACTGAGCGCGATCGTGAGCGTTGCATACCAGGCAGGTCAAGCTGGACGGTCAGTCGGTCAGTCAGTCTCTGATGCCACAGTAACCCGCCGAACCAAGTAAAATAACGGTGAAAGTCGAGGGAAATTGATGAGTTTGTCGGTCGTTATTGAAAGAGAAGTGTTTTTGTCGACCTGAGGTTGATAGCTCTGGGGACATAAAGAAAGAGAGACGGCAGTGTGAGGCTGGGGTACGTCGGCTAGGGGTTTTAGGGTAGAATCACTATGTAAACCGATTACGTGAGCCGATTATTCACGTGATGTATTACAAGTGACCCTAGAGACCCTAGAGACCCTAATGACCCTCGAATATCTCCCCACCTGATCTCACGAAATTGTGGGTCCAACAAGGCTGGATCACCTGACGCTGTAAGTAAAACCTTTCTTTATTTGATACTTTACTTCCTTTTCTGTTGTATTGCAAGGCTCTTGTTGGATTAATGTTTCAATTTCTTCATCTAAGAAATAGATCGATTTATTATTTCCTTTTTGAAAAGCACTGATCAAACTCTCATATCAAGTAAATCGTACGACCAGCGACCGACCATCCAATATCAGATACCTATTTGCACAACGGCGATGGGATTATGTAGGAGTAGGATAATAGTATTACATTTCGCAGAACACAGCCCAAGTACGTTCAAACAAATACTACAGTAGTAAAAGCGCAATGAAGAAGGACGGTTGCGTATTAAATCCATTCATAGGAGGGTACACTGATTACTTTCGATCTATACTTTACAAAAAATCGTAACAGCCACAACGCCTGATCGCAGCCAAATCCAAGCCTCAAGCTAATAGAATAACGCTTCGATCAAATAGATGGCTCCGAAGACCAAGAAAGCAATGGCGCCGCCGAGGGTCACTAGGATTGATGTTAGAGCACAGCGGAGGATAAATCAGTGGTTGGAAAAACTTACCGACGCGCATGCTAACACGGCCTGCGATAGCACTTCCACCGATGACCGCCGCTGCCGTACATAGACCGTGGCCCGTGATGGCTCCTACGGTTACCCACCAGTAGTCCTGGCCCGCGGCCATGGCGATGGTGGCGATCTGGCTGCGGTCGCCCCACTCGCCCAGGAAGGTCATGACGAACGTCTGGACCCAAGCGGGGCTGAGAAGCAGCGACAGCAGGTTGTTCATGCCGACCAGGAAGTCGTCCCACCGCCGACCCCGACCGGGCGACGAATCGCGAGATGAGGAGGACGAGACGCTCTCGGGCGGCGAAGGGAGGCGGTTGGCCGACGAGCGAGACTTGCGCCGACCGGGCATGCGACCGGCTTCCAGAGAATGAGGGGTAATAGAAGAACGGCGGCGGTTCATGCGCAGCTGCTGGTGCTCCTTTTCCTCGAGTTCCATTTCGACTTCCTTCATCTCTTCCCCGACGCCCTCGTCGGGAGCCATGTCGCGGCCTTCTTTGAGCATTTTCAGCCCGAAGACGAAGAAGAGGATGGCCGCCAAGAATTTGGTATAAGTCTTGGGGATGAGGGTGGGTACAGCGTGTCCGAGGATGGCCGACAGGATGGTCATGCCAATGAGGGCGCTGAAGGCGGCCGAGAAGACGAGCAGACGGGGATGGCGCATGGCCATCAGAGCGGCGACCAAGAACGTCTTGTCGCCAATCTCGGAGACGACGATCATGGTAAAGGAGAAGAGCAGAGAATGGAAGGCGCTGCCCTCTTCCTCAGCAACCAATGTACCCCCTACCACCGACGAGCTATCGCGGGTCCCCGAATTATCGAGGCCAAGAGGATCGTTCTTGACGGACGTCGGGGCCTTGGGATGGGGGATGTCGTGCGGTTTTTCCGGCAGGGCGGCAGGTTTCTGAGACGGTTAGCCTACAGTCACGTAGGGATCATGGCGTTGGGATCGGGATTACCTCGACCTTCCCCAGGTTAGGATTGCCCGAATTTTTCGAGTCCTTCACCTCGACCTCCTCCTTGGACGGAGGCATTTTCTGCTGCTCGCTGTGCGGCGGAGGCGGTGCCTCCTTCGGAGTGTCTGGCGTCTTCTCGCCAGCGTTATACGAGGGTGTCTTGATCTTCTCGGACACACCACCCTCGGTGCCCCGCGTACCCTCCTTGGGACCTACCCGGTTTCGATCGTCCATGACGCCGTCGTTCGAGTACGGGATCGGTTTCCCGTCGGGGCCTGGGTGTTGGGACTTGGGGTCGGGAGGAAACATGTCATCCGACGATTTGGCACTGCCCTGCTTCTTGCGATCACGGTCCGCGCTTGTTTCCACCCATGGGCCCGCATGTGGTCGTCCATCTTTGCCATCGACGGGGGCGTCCAGCGTCCCACGAGGAGAGCCCTTGGGGGCCGCTGCGAGGCTCTCTACGTCCGGGAGGGCGGCGTTCGCATTGACGACGTCGCGCTCCGCGACCGTATTCGCATCGTTGGGGTCGGCTAGAGCTGTTGCGATAGCAGGGAGGAGAAGGAGGGCGGACGAGATGTGGTGTAGCTTCATTATGGTAGTCTGTCGAAGTATAAGAGAAAAAAAAAGGAAATGAGCGAAAATAGTCTCCGAGTTCACTCAGAATCGATCATGAGCGGATGAATGTAAACAAGAGGCGTCGCACGAGGCGAAACCAGTCGAATGCAGGATGGAAGTTAGGATCGGCGATCTTGTAACATGAAGCCACGACGCTTGATGCGAGGGAGGACAGGCCACTGAAGGACAAGGAGAGTGTAAATTGAACGGAGAATAACGAAAAAGAAGCGAAATATCGGAGTAATATTAAAACAAGATGTAAAAGAAAGCCAAAAGTGAAGTCAGATAGAAAGGAGACAGAGCAGACGCAGACAGGAGAGGAAAAGAAGAGAAGAGAGACGCAGGTGGAATGGCGGCCTTCTTTTTTGGGCGGCCGGAGACAGCCTCAGGCCCTGCTTAGGGGGTTCCAGCCGTCTCCGCGTCACGTGTCCTCTTGGCTGTGGCCGCTTGCGTCGAATGGACGGTCACCTTCCACTCCGCTCCACTCCTCTAACCGGCTCTGACAAGCATCTCCCTGTCATGCTGTTTGTGACGCCTGCTTTGAACCTATGTCGAGTATCTTAGGTCACTGCTCAAAGCAACCCACTGCGATTGGCAAGATACCATCCCAGAGTTTGGCCGCTTGGTGGGGTAGTGGGGATAGAACGATACTGAACGGACACAACCCAGGCAAAGGAGGAACAGGAATGCTCACCACTAACATGGTAGATATTTCCCCAGCTTCCTCACGCATATTTTGACATGCTCCGCTTCGACCGCTACTTCGACCGTTTGCTCGTCCTCTCGCCGCGGCACCCCCTCAACTGGTGCCCCACCTACGACAAATCCACCGGATACTCTTCGTGGTGCTCCTCCAACACCCAGAACCTCGCCTCGAGATTATCATGAATGAGTGATGCGCAGACACGCAGTCTGTCTCGAAGCAGACAACCCAGAAATCGATGAAGTAAACACTGGTGGAGTACGAGGTCCAGTGGCACGGAGTGACGGGAACCGAGCCCTCAACCTTATGTGTAGCTCGTAGACGATCAGATATATTGAGGATTTGGCACATGATGAGAACAGATGTCAAAATAAAAGATACACAAACTCGGGTCCAAGAGCAATAATCCCAAAAGGCTGCGACATTACGGTTGGTCTTCGCCAGGAAAGGCAGCGACGTTACTCCCTAAGTACCGTGGTAGGTCGTAGGTACTGTAGTATCCGACATAGCATAGCTAGGGACAAACGCACGCATGTCATTGATTTGGGGTCCCACTGCAAGGAGAGAAGATCGAGACGTCGAACAGTGGCATGACTACCTAGTTATCAGACCATCATCTGACCCACCCAGTAATCCATAGGAATAATACAAAGGAATCTGCACATCATCCAAACCCGAAACATCGCCATATCTATCACAAACGCATCTATCAAAGGTATACCATACTCTATATACACAGTGTGATAATTCACCGATCCCCCAAAACAGCCACAGTCTCCCTACGCGGCTTACCCCCCTCAGACCCCACAGCCACCAGACATCGCCGTCCCTGGTCGTCAACCACCCACTTCATCGGGCCCGGCGGCAGCTCGTCCACCTTGAGGAGGGCCTTGGTAGGCTCATCGAGCAATGGCCGCTCGCCGTGTTTCCACGGGTGTGAGCCGCCCAGCGAGGCGGGCAGACTGGCGGTGTCGATGTGCTCCTCTAGCGTCGGGAGGACCTCAGACGGGGTTAGAAAGATCAGCTTGTCGGCTGTGACGGGGTCGACCCAGCCTTTGAGGAATTTCCAGATGGTGGCGAAGTAGGAGGGGGTATTGCAGACCTGTTTGTCGGTTAGTTTACCATATATAATGCTTTAAAGTTGGGAAACAGAAAAGGGGGAGGGGGGATACAAAAATCTTATGGATAGTCTCAGGATAACACGTCGTCAGGAGAGAGCTAACGTCGCGGGCAAACACGCGCAGATCGAACCCCTGCATCATGTTCATGTTCGACGCATCGACAAGGATGATCGCGCTGGCGATGGGTTGGCACGGATTCTGGAGCGCCGAGCACAGAGGGAACACGAAGCGGGTGATGTCGTCAAAGATGGCAGACGCCAACTGCAGGAGATCAAGAGTCTGCAATTGGTCCTCACCCTCGACGGAATGGGGCAGGAATCGACTGTCCTGCCAGCCGGCCAGCGTCTTCTTGTTCATGTTAACCATGTCGACCTGACAAACGGGGAGGCCCTTTTTGTCGCGCGCGCCGGTCCAGAAGGGGTACTTGTTGGTCTTGTCAGTACTCAACCTCGGTAGATGAGGTGAAGTAGGCTACAAGTGCCTACAATTAAACATGGGATAACTCACCACCCCCTTGGCCGTCTCAAAGTCCTGCACGCGAATGCGATCATGCACCTCGAAGACGCGATTCTTCTCCCGGAACTGCCGCGCCGCCTGGAACTGGTTTAGGGCGTCGTGGGGGCTGAATTTGCGGGCTTTGAGATAGCGTCTACGGGGGTCAGCCTTGGTCGAGGGGTTCGTTTCATGCGAAGAGGGGGAAACGGGCGCCGATTACAGAAGAGAAAACTCATCGCAGATAGCATCAGGGGCATCCCCGGGTGTCATCCCGCTGGGGAGATCGAACAGCTTCTGGTCCGCGCATTGGCGGGTAAGGCTGAGGAGGTTTGTCCGTTGCTCGTCGGACAAGCCGTAGGGGTTGGATTCGTCGACGGTCATGTTGGGCGTTCTCTTGCAGTCTAATTGGGAAAATTCAGATCGAGAAAAGAAGAAAAGAGCAAGCTATCGTCGTCACAAACACAGATCCAATCTCAAGGAAAAGAGAGAAAAACGAAGTCAGAAATGGGGAGAAAAAGCTTCGGCTTACAGGGCGGCGCACGCGATTAGTCAATCCCTGCTGTTTTGAGGGAATTCCGAGCTGTCTCCCCTGTAGCTCTTCTTCTGGGTCTGTGATTTGACTTGACTCCACGGTGTTCATTCACTCCTTCTCCCCATCCGAGTTCTTGACACCCGGTCCATTACGACTTCGTCTTCACGTGGAGCCAAGATCTCTCCCCGCACTCGAATCGACCGGTCATCTTTTGTCCCGGACGATGTGGGATTTCCCCGGATAACGACCGCTCCGTCGACGTATTCTTCACGATCGTCAGTCCGGTCAGTTGAAATCGCTTAGTGGGGGATCCCAGACCATTGTCTTAATACGCCTCTTAATACGCGGTTGCGACCTATCAAATAGGTCAGTGATCAGATAAGAAAAAAGGTTAGTTTGACCATCGGCTAGAAGATAATCAATTTTTCTTATTTTCCAAGAACAAAGTAAGAATAAGTCAAAGTTGTATAATGAAAAAAAAATATGTAAGGAACCGAAAAATAAAATAAAAAATCAAGTCAATTGTAGAGAATCAGAGGATATCACAATGGTTATCTCCAAAAGAAGAAATTCAATGAACAAAAAAAAAAAAAAAAAGAAAGAAAGAAAAAAAGATCTATTGCACAACTGCGCAGTACTTTGCTACTATAGAGTCTTGTATTGTACAGTATAGTATATATATACTCTGGTCTTCGGCCCTGTTTTCTACCTACCCTTTAGCAAGGTAGAGAAGCCTCACTTAGAGTTAATTCCATGGCCTACTATTTTGGCAGCCCATTTTCCGTCTATATCCAGATAGTAGCAGCAGCTATGCACCCCACTATCGTCTACTGCCTACTTCCTATTTTTAAACCATCCCCCAACACTTCCCATCACGCCCCGAACACCCCTCCAAATCTCCCACCGCCCATCATAAACCGGGTACACGACAACCGCTCCGAACGCAAAAAACTGCCACGCGATAGCGACCGTCGTCCAGCCGGCGAAGAACGCCCGGCCGAAGATATAGTCGCGGTAGAGCGGGAGCGGCCACGCGACGAAGGTGAGCAGCACGAGGACGCCGAAGGTGGCCCAGGCGATGCGGTACCATCTTGCAAGGTGGGCGAGGGTTTGTTTGTCGAGTGGGTGGACGAGGTCGTCTGTTTCTGTCGTGGTGGCTGTTGCGGTTTTGATGGGTGGTTTTTCGTTGGGGGATGGAGGGGTCGTGTCTGTCGTACTACCAGCGGCGGACGTAGTGACTGTGTTGTCTGGGGAGGGCTCGGACTGGGTTACTGCCGTTATGCGGAGAAATTCGCGCCAGTCAAAGGTGGAGGGACGGTAGGCGGAGAGAAGGAGTGAGTAGAGGGCGGGGGAACAGCAGGCGGCGATGGACCCGTAAAGACTAGGACACTCTTTCATCGTCGTGGCGAGGGTGATGGACCCATACATGGACTTTGCGGTGGCTAGCCAGACGGCGAGCCCCGAGACAAAGCCAAGGATGGGGGCCCAGGTAGCCGCGAGGCGGGTCTGTCGGGACCAGGTGAGAGTCAGGATGAGTGGCAGGATGCCGGAGGACGTCAGGATGGGGCGGAAGTAGCCGATCCAGGTCATGTTGGCGCCGCCGTAGTTGAGGACGATGGAGAAGCCGGTGATGAAGACGGCGTGGAACGCGACGGAGAGGTGGCTGACTCGGATGATGCGGCGGTCCGAGGCGGCCGGGTTGATGTATGTCTTGTAAAGATCGAAGGAGAGGATGCTGCTGACGGCGATCATGGACGAGGAGACCGTGCTCGTAAGGGCCATGAAGACCAGGACGAAGAAGGCGACGACGCCCTGGGTGCCGAGGAGGGCCTGGATAGCGTAGGGCATCACGAATCCCGACAGGATTTCGCCCTGCGTGAACTCGCCTGGCCATGTGGGGAACAGTGGCGTGTCGTGAATGGCGCGGGCCGCCAGGCCGACGACGGTCCCGAGGCCCCATGGGACGCCGAAGATGGCGACTGCAGCCAGGTTATAGCCGGGAACGGTGGCGTTGACTTCCGTCGCGAAGGACTTCTGCCAGAAAGCGGTGTCCTGCGTGGGTTAGAACCTTTGCTGGGAGACGTCGCTGTTTTTGAGGGGGCAAGACGAACCATTACGACTAGAGCTAGATTGCCGAACTTGAGGATGAGCCCCCAGATGATTGCATCGTGGGACTTCATCGTCAAAAGCGATCCCTGGTAGTTTCCGGGGATGTAGTTATCGGGCGCCACGGCGGTGACCTTGTCGTATAGTCCGTACAACCCTCCGATGGCTTCGTGGCTGAGGATCGAGAGTGTGAAGTAGATGATCAGGATCAGGGCGACAGCTGTGTGAAGATAGTCCGTCAAAAATGTGGCTTTGAGGCCTCCCACCGCGGTGTACAGCACGACTAGCAATGTAATTGTCAGACACGATCGCACGGAGTGCCACAAGGGAAGAGCACAGTACCACCCAGAGGAATGAGAATCGTGGCAGCCACGAAATGGATCCCCGCAATGCCATGAATCAATTGCGAACCAGTCAGGATCATGGATGCACAGCCAAATATGTTGCAGCACAGGTTCAGCACGAGGAAAACCACATGTGCCGCCTTGCCATATCGCAAGCGGATGATCTCCAAGGAGGTGTGCGCGTACGGAACTCGGAGCTTGGCCAGCACGCCCAGAGCCGCCATCAGAGCGATCTGGAAGCATAGACCGGAGCCATACCACTGCCGAAAGTTAGACATCGATCGCCAATTACACGCGCTTCCTAGACCGTACCATCGGACCCGCCAACCCAAATCTGTAGCAAAACACGGCGGAGAACACCGTCTCGTTGATCCACATCCATGAGGAAAACACCGCGGACGCAGTCAGCCCCGTCCCCACGCTACGATTAGCGACCATAAACATCTCGGACGTGCCCGAGTCTTCGTCGAGGTAAGCCTTTTGAATCTTGACGGCGATGAGAATGACGCCGCAGAAGAGGATGCCCAGGCCGATGAGCAGCCCGTAGCCCGTCCCCTGGGAGATCAGGGTGACTCCCGCCGAGGAGATTTCGCTTGACATGATAGCTGTAGGAATTTTGGCCGGGGGGAAATCCCATTCCCATGTTGGTCCCTTCCAGCCTATTTAACGACCGATCTCGATCGCGATCGACCATTTTGGGACATCTCAACGACCAAGCAATTGAGGAGACAAATGGCGTTATATGAAGCCTCGACTTAGGACCGCTAGCACGAGAGAGGGGACACGAGAAAAGTGGGATAAAGAAAACATCAGACACTGAACCCTAAAAGGGCTGAGTTAGTGGTGGTTGATTGGACGCTAGTCCATTGCGTGCTGGATACGCCGAATTGCAAAGCTATACACGGAATCTTTGTTCTGAGACCTTGGGGATTCGTTCTCCATGCTTGTTATCGGTTGATTAGTTCTAATTTCAAAGGTGAAGTACTAATTCCAATGGATACGAGGATTTTGCCAATTCTCATCCATACGAAGGGAGCCCATTGAGATATCCCCTTGGGCAGGATCCCTGCCATCCGCGGTAGGGCACGAACGTGACAATGCGGATGATCCGGTCGGAGAAAACCCCGTTTGATGCAGCCAAGCCTCGTGGCCGATTCCCTTTTCGTCGTTTTCGCAGAATCCACCAGGTTTCAAATGATATCCTCGAGCAAGGATGGGCTGACAGTCGCTCGTTTCAGCTAAGCCTCAGTTGAGCTAGACCTCATCGACCACAGCTTCTTCTCTTCTCCCCTCGAGGCGGTGTATCCTCTAGGCATTGTTTCTCTCGGTAAATATTTGATCTGATATCACTTCGACGCCGATCTCCAGAATGCATATTGGTCGGGAGGGGGGGGGGGTTGGTTCGGCATGCAGTCCAAACCTCGCGGTGACGGCGGATGGAAAACCAAGGATTCAAATCGGGAAAAGACTGGGGAAATCAATTTAAAAAAAGAAAGAAAAGTCTGTCACATTGCATGAATCGGTAGGTGATGGATGCTCGCCAACGCCAAACATCACGATCTCCCCCTCCCGATTACGCGTAGGGGGATGGTTTCCAGGTCGTCCCCACTACCAGCGCAGAGATCTGGTGCAGCTTGTCTGATGTATCAATACCTATCATGACAGCGGTGAAGTAGAAACAGGGATTCACAGGCTGATGAACTGGTGGTTGCAGTGAATGAGTTGTAGCCATGTGTTGGACGTGGTCTGTTCTAGTATGGATACTCTGTAGAGTGGTGTTAGTACCATAGTATTGATATGAATTGTCAGATTAATAGAGACAGAGATCTGGGGATGAGAAGATCACCACATGGTCCAGTAAGGGATCAATCCAAATCCAGATAAGCATCAACATTGGATGTTTTGAATGTAGGATGACGACATTCGATAGGACGGATGGTAGAGATGAATGGTCGAGAATGGATGAAAACGTCAACGGAAGCCCCACTATGTACACTATGCTATGCTTATCCTTATCCAGCCTGACTAACTGACTTTGCGCGTGACTGAAGCTCTGTCCATCGATTCATCCCTCGTGATATTCTCTTTCTCTCCACTCCATCTCTCTCTCTCTTCCTCTCCTGTCTTGTCTCTCCATCTCTTCATCCTCATTCGTGCCAACCTATCCTTTGTCTCTCTTGGACCCCGACCACCCCCGCATCATTTGATTCGCCCTGGTCAGCATGCATTCTTGACCGACTGATACAATATTATCTATCACCTTGAATCATCCTCTATATATTGGTCGTGATACCTTCGCCCCCTCCTCTCGAAACCATGTCCTGTGATACTACGAATTTCTTTTCGATTTCCTTTTGCTTTTCGTTGTTGTCTTTTGTTTGTCAACCGTGATCGAGATCGTTCTGTGCCAGTGTATCTGACACCGTTGTCGTTCGATATTGTACCCCCCCCCCCTCATCGCCACTGGTGGGTCTCTCCTCCCATCGGGATCCCTTGCACCTCAACTGAGGTCAGAATCCGATTGGTTCTGCAACGGGGCGTATTCGTAGGAATCGGCCGGCGTGAAAACATGACGGCCGCAGACGACTCGGGATGCACAACCAAACCTGAAGACTATGCCCAGGATGCCGGTCATCCCCCCCCAGCCACCCCGTGGTGGAGGCGCTGGGGACGCTCCCCGAGAGAGGAACCGGGGTTCGTTCCAGCTGATGGAAGCTATCGTGCCAAGTCTACGATGGGCATCCTCAGCGATAAAGAAACCGACCAAGTGCCAGGTAAGTGGCTCTCGTGGGACCGGGACTGGGACCGGGTTTTGGAACAGATTACCTAACCGGATCAGGCACCGTTCTCCTCCTTGCATCTCATCGCAACGAACCGCTCGGGTTGAGACGCCGAGAAAATCGTGGATCCGCGACATCCTTGCAGTCCGCCTATTCGCGTGCCTCCTCCCGATCCGCAGTACCGACGAAGAAGACGTCCGATGGTCGGGTGATCTTGGATCCCCAGCCCGATGATTCGGGCAACGATCCCCTAAACTGGCCGGTCTGGCGCCGGGATGCCGCTTTGATCGCCCTGGGCTTTTACTCGCTCATGGGCGGCGGCATGACCCCCGTCCTCGCTGCAGGATTCGAGGCAGTTGCCACGACGTATGATGTGTCCACCCAGAAGGTCGCCTTCACGACGGGTCTTTACATGCTGGGGTTAGGCGTGGGCTCGGTGATCATGTCCCCAACGGCCATCCTGTACGGTAAGCGTCCGGTCTACCTCCTGGGGGCCACGCTTTTCATCATTTCGGCCGTCTGGTGTGCCGCCTCCCCCAACTTCGCCAGCCTGGTGGTAGCCCGTGTGTTCCAAGGCATCGCGGTCAGTCCTGTCGAGTGCCTGCCCTCGGCCACCATTGCGGAGATCTACTTCTTGCACGAGCGCGCCTACCGCGTGGGCATATACACGCTACTCTTGCTCGGAGGCAAGAACCTGGTCCCGCTGGTGAGCGCGGCCATTATCGGCCGGATGGGGTGGCGCTGGGTGTTTTGGATCGTCGCCATGGTCGTAGGCGTCTGTCTGGCGATGATCTTCTTCTTCATGCCAGAGACCTTTTGGGATCGGACCCCGCGCCCCCGCCCCCGCAAGCGGCCCTCCCTCTACCGCAGCGTGTCAGACGTCGTCACCCACGGGTTCCACGGGCGACCGCCGCATACCCAGCGCCTTCCCGACTCGGCCCCGGAGGAGCCCTTGCGCTCGCCCTCGCCCGCCCATCATGCTGATGGGGCCCCCCACGTAGGGTTCGTCAATGAGACGCTGGGTTCGGTGCGGGACGAGAAGGACGACCGTGGCCCAACAGATGCGGACTCCATTGCGCCGGCGCCTCCGCCCGCAGGGACTCGGGGGAACCTAGAGAAATCTGACGCAGACCGTCATCCCCCACCCCCGGCTCACGGCACGTCCCATGCGGGGGATCTGGAGGCGGCCCGGCTAGCGGCTCCCTCGTCCACCCGCAGCGACTCGGTCGGGCCGGCGGCACCCCCAATCACCACAAGCATGCACTACACCAACCAGCTGCGGGATCGGTCCCCGGTCCCGTTCGTGCAGTCGCTGCGACCAGGGCAGGGGCGGATCTCGCAGGATAGCTGGATGCGGGCGGCTTACCGGCCTTTTGTGCTTTTCGCGTACCCGGCGGTGCTGTGGTCGGCTGCAGTGTACGCCCTGTCCGTGGGGTGGCTAATCGTGGTGTCCGAGTCGGTTTCGCACATCTTCCAGGGTCGGTCCCACTACCACTTCACGGCGCTGCAGACGGGGCTCGTTTATATTTCGCCCTTCGTGGGCGGCCTGCTGGGGACCGCCGTGGCCGGTCGGGTGTCGGACCTGATCGTCACCGCCATGACGCGGCGGAACGGAGGCGTCTACGAGCCAGAGTTCCGGCTGGTTATGGCGGTGCCAATCGCGCTGTCGACGACCACAGGACTGATGGCGTTTGGCTGGAGTGCGGAGGAGGAGGACCCATGGATCGTGCCGACGGTATTCTTCGGGCTGATCTCATTTGGCTGCTGTTTGGGAAGCACCACGGCCATCACATATGTGGTGGATAGTTACCGACAGTATGCCGGGGAGGCGCTGGTGACACTGAACTGGTGCAAAAGTAAGTTTTTTTTTTTTTTTTTTTTTTTTTT